TAGAACATTCGACAAAGAACAAGATAGTTCTAGAAACTAGAGGGCGCCACAGTGGTCACGTGACTCGTTGACGCAACAATATAATGGTCATAGCACAAAGTTAACTCAACACTTTTCATTTCTGATCTGAAATTGGCAAAACAATGTCAGCCTGTTACTTTTCATTTCTGATTTGATATTGATAAAACAACGTCAGCCTGTTACTTTTCATTTCTGATTTGATATTGATAAAACAAGTCAGCCTGTTACTTTTCATTTCTGATCTGAAGTGGGCAAAACAATGTCACTCTGTTCCTTTTCATTTCTTATCTGAAGTTGGCTAAACAATGTCACTCTGTTCCTTTTCATTTCTTATCTGAAGTTGGCTAAACAATGTCACTCTGTTCCTTTTCATTTCTTATCTGAAGTTGGCTAAACAATGTCACTCTGTTCCTTTTCATTTCTTATCTGAAGTTGGCTAAACAATGTCACTCTGTTCCTTTTCATTTCTGATCTGAAGTTGGTAAAACAATATCAGTCTGTTACTTTTCATTTCTGAGCTGAAGTTGAGAGAACAAAGTGAGCTTTTTATTTTCATTTCTGATCTGAAGTTGAGAGAACAAAGTGAACTTTTTATTTTTATTTCTGAGCCGAAGTTGAAAAACCAAACTCAACTTGTTATTTTACATCTCTGATAAGAAGCTGACAACGAAAGTCAACTTATTATTTTGCATTTCTGATAAGAAGCTGACAACGAAACTCAACCTGATATTTTACATTTCTGATAAGAAGCTGACATCGAAACTCAATTTGTTATTTTACATTTCTGATAAGATGCTGACAACGAAAATCAACTTATTATTTTGCATTTCTGATAAGAAGCTGACAACAAAAGTCAACTTATTATTTTGCATTTCTGATAAGAAGCTGACAACGAAACTCAACCTGTTATTTTACATTTCTGATAAGAAGCTGATAACGAAACTCAATTTGTTATTTCACATTTCTGATAAGAAGCTGACAACGAAACTCAACTTGTCATTTTACATTTCTGATTTGAAATCAACAAAGCAAAGTCAGCTTGTTTCTTTTCATTTCTGATCTAAAATTGTCAAAGTCAGTCTGCCACTTTTTATTTCTAATCTGAAGTCGACAGAACAAAGTAAACTCGTTACTTTTAATTTCTGATCTGAAGCTGAGATATTATTATGTTGATTGCGCTAAGAATTACTAGAAGGGTCCTACTTTATAAAGCACAACTCAACTTACTCCAATTTTTGTGAAGTATAAATGAGTAGATTCTTCTTCATTTTTGAGTACATTTCACATGAACATTTTTGCCTTCACGTAAATTGCGGTTAAAACTTTATTTAACCGTCAACGAACTCCTCTTTACTGAAAAACATCCTCAACCCATATCCTACTAGAA